AAATGCAGAGTTGCTGTTCGACTGGTATAAAGTGTCTGTCACGAAGATGAAAAGGTTCTAGAGATCTGCTGTATGACGACAGGCTTATAGTTAACAACGCCGTGCTGTATACTTAAAAATTTGTTAAGAGGGTAGATTTTATGTTATGTGCTTTTTATAACAAAAAAAAAGGAAGTAAATCATCCAGAGAATATTTTAAAACGTTTGAAGGCACATGGCTAAAAGACGTGCACTTTACTGTTAAGTTAGAGGATAACCATTTTAAGGTCAGAGAACTCTGAAAATCTGATGATCCTCCCCCAGGAGGAATAAATTTACCCCCAATTCCCAACCATAAAGTCCAACTGAAGCGTCCCATGTTAATTTTTAAAAATATGAATATGCTATGTGATTATGATTCCTAAGTATGAAAAATGCATAGGAAAAAGGCTAAAAAAATGGTCTTAAATATGACTAGATATGATGGGATTATGAATGGCTTTATTCTTTTCTCAAATATAAAAATTATTATTATAATACCACTACAGAGGGAAAAACCATATCTAATACTGCTTGTAACAAACCAATAATTTAGTCTATTTTGGAAATTTGTCAAAATGAAATTTATCTTTAGCACCCTGAAGGAGTGAATGTAACATCCTGCAAACCAAAAATGTGTCTCTTCACAGGGAGAGCCTTACGATGGAGGTGTAGCATACTAAGAGCACATAGCACTAATTAACTTAGGTCTGTGTAAAGTAACGGATCACTGATAGAAATGCGTCCCTCCCATGTCAACCTTGTCCAGCTGGGCAAGAGCAGGGCAGGTGAGGAAGCACATTTTCCGGGAAAGTGGAAGAAAAAAACTGAAGCCCAAAATCCATTAAACAGTATATAGCAATACAACATAACAATACATAGATAATACAGAACAGAGCTGAACTTACCCTTCATTTGTCCAGCATTACATGAGTGAAATTTTCTTGAAAAAAATGGAGAAACTCTCTTTAAACTCAAAACTGCTATTTTAATCACATTAAATGGGAAAGTCCTCTAATGGTTTAAAGATTTGTCTTCTTCAACTGTGTACCCAGTTCTTGGAAATCACCAGCATGATTAAGATCCTAATACCCCTAGTCATTCTCAAAAAGAGGTGAACAGTAAGCACATAATCAATGCACTGTAGTGAGAGACCAGAGGGGGAAGACTGATTCTGGGACAAGGAGAGCACAGGCTTCCTGGTGGTGACTTGTAATGGTGGGGGTGAAGGATGAGGAGGACTGCCTCAGAAGCAGCAAAGAGGGAAGAGGAGAAGAATGTTTCTGGAACAGTAAGTGGACTGTTGGAAGGATCTAGAAAAAAATGAAAAACAAGTTGGGTTAGATCATGAGGGGTCCTGAAGAACTATCCAAGGAGTTGGTACCTTCCATAGGGTTGGAGACACTGCTGCACTTCCTTGGGAGGGGAGTAACACAATTCGATTCGTAGTATGAGCCTATGGGCTGCTTCCTCCTTATAATCTGCTGCAATCCAAGGCTTCAGAAATCCTCATGTTTAGAATCTAACGGCTTCAGAGGCTCTCCTTCAGAACAGAAATCCATGGCTTTTTACTATTGTTATTTATTTATTTATTTTTCAGTACGTGGGCCTCTCACTGTTGTGGCCTCTCCCGTCGCTGAGCACAGCCTCCGGACGCGCAGGCTCAGTGGCCATGGCTCACGGGCCCAGCCGCTCCGCGGCATGTGGGATCCTCCCGGACCGGGGCACGAACCCATGTCCTCTGCATCGGCAGGCGGACTCTCAACCACTGCACCACCAGGGAAGCCCTACTATTGTTATTTATTTCCCAGTCCTGAGATGTGGTTAGGAGCTATACTCCCTACTCCTCATGTTTGCAGGTAAAGAGAGTTCCTAAGAATAACCCTCCTGGGGTAAATAACTAATATTTATCATTGGATGTTGAAATATTAACTATGCTTACTGGGATACCAGTTGGAACTAAGATGGAAATTTATGGAAGGCGGTTCACAGTTATCATATTTGGTATTTTTTTCTCCTGCCAAGCAGACTATAATTGGGTAAAACAGCGTGTATATACTGAAAATTCCTGTGGTGGGCCACTGACAACTTCTTGTGAAAGAGAAAAAGAAGGCTATGGCAGTGTTTAAGACATGATAATATCCTGAAGAAATATGAATTGTCTACAGGGAATTGAGTGCCTTGGGAAGGGATGTGGCCGCCATCATTTGAAGGTTCAAGCCTAGGCTGGTCTGCCACCTGGTGGGATCTGGGGGTCAGTGGAGGGAGATGTTTAAGAGCCGGACAACCCAGAATCAGTTCAGGCTCTGTCATTTAATTACTGTGTGACCAAGAGCAGATTACTTAACCTCTCCAAACCTGCAGTGCCCTCATCTATGTAGCAGGGATAATAATGTGATACACTTCACAATGTTGTTATGAAAAATAAATGAGATGGCATATGTAGTTCAGTTAGCACTGTGCTTGCCACATAGTAAACATTAATAGAAACCAAAAATAAACATAATTATCATAGTATCATTATGAGGAGAGATTTAAGCTTAAAATGGGAAGGTGTCCTACATGACATTTAAGATCCCTTCTTACAACAAGAATCTACGTGTTTATATCCTCCACTGATGTTTCATTAGAATTAAGGCTATTCTCTGCCTGAAAAGTCATATACATATATATACACACACACATACATGCGCGTGCACGTGTATGTACATTCGTGGTCACGCAGATGTGTGCACGTATGCACGTGTATGTGCATGTCTGCTAAAGCATTAGCAAGCAGTCCAACAAACAGAACACGTATAAAAGATGTTTATAGCAGCCTGCATACGGTACACGAGTACCAGAGGTTTGTGATTAATTCTGAACATATGAGGTCAGTAGCTCACAGGGCTTTTTCCCCACAGAAATGCCAATAATGAGGACGATCTGGAAACAAGTTTCCCCCTCAGCACAATCACCAACAAAGCAAAGGGATGGAGAATCAGTTTACCTACATGCCCTATCTTTTCTCAGTTTCATGATTAGAAGGTAAAGTGAAATCAAATTATTTCAACTTTTTCAAATAATTTCCACTTTTAGAAGACTTCTGTTTTGCAAGCAGAATGCAGTTGACTGAGGTTAAATTCTTCCATGGCAGCTTTAAACTATTTCTTAGGGCTTTTACTACTCTTCTGGAGGCTCAACCATTTAAGACCATTATCTAGAATGAAACGACAGCTTCAATTAAGATATCTAACCAACAAGTATTGTTCCAGTTTTCTATCTTGTGTCCCAGGATTACAAGGCTCAGGGTGGTATAACTGGAAAAATTAAGATTCAGGTCCCATACTTGAGGAGCTGCCAACGAGCTAAATATTAATAATTTTACTAGTTTACAGACACACAGCACTCAAGGATTTTCAAAGAACTTCGGACATATTATCTCACTGGATCTTTATCACAGAAGATAGGTGAGTCTTGTATTTTTATCTTCATTTGGAAGATGAGGGAAAACTTTGAGTTCAGAGATGCTAAACCCAAGATCCCATGGCTAATAAATGACAGAGCCAGATTTGGAACCCAAGTGTTTGTCTCAGAATCTAGGACTCTATTGCCCAATACTACTTTTAAAAGAGGCTTATTTATTTTAAGGCTATTTTATGAGCTACAGAGCTCATAAAATAGCTCTGTAGTTACAGAATGGTATTCAATAAATATTAATTGATGACCTAAGTTTACTGTAATTCAGGACAATATTTTCATGATTAGTTTTACATTTTAATCAAATTTGAATAAACATTTTTTAACTTAGCTGAAAAAATGTTAAATAGATATATTTTATACCACCCTATATACAGTACCTAAGTCTACAAATACTATGTTGGTCATTATCCACTGAAACTAGAGTGGATAAATACATCCTTCTGCAAATATGGCACTGTGCACCACTCTTCAATTTCCTGTTTTGTGAGAAGATGACCGTGACCTGAGTAAAACCTCAGGAATGATATTAGATCACTTATCTTTGTCACTCTGGATATCAACAAATTAAAGTAGGCAAGTCCATAAATCATCACACAGGCACACATACACACACCCAACCCCACCCTTTGCTACAGTACTGCAACAAAACAAGAAGACAGCCTTCCTTTGTCATTTTTCACCAGTGAAAGTCTTCATCAGACATTTTGCCAAGAAAACCGTCTTGTAGTACCTGATGTGAACTGCAGGAGGTTTCCTAGAGGTCAAAATGTGTTTTATAATATCAAGAAACTGAAAATGGCCCTCAGCCACGTGCCTATCACGTAGTAGGTACTCAAATACGGGTAAGTCATGAACACACACTCCTCTTCTGAATAAAAGATTACAGAAATATCCTCTGCCATGATTTGACTCCCTTAAAATCAAATTCTTAAAAAAATATATGGGAAATATTGCATATTTATAAATAGGTCAGTCATGTGGTTAACAAGACAAATATTTCCTACTATATATATACCTATTAAAATGGCACTCACAAGTCAAAAGAAAACTACTTCTTCATACTTTGAGGTTTTCCTCATTATTTGCTGGCCAATACTGATTACCTATCATTTACTTATGGAGATACAGAATGTCATATTAGTATTTTTTACCACTTTTATTCACAACAAGGTTCATTTCTCGAGTTGGTTCTAAGTAAGACTATCACTGGCGTGCAATTCCTATCAAATGCATCAACACCCTTGGGATCTCCATATTTTGCCACTTTCAGGCTTCCTGACCTGGCCTGCCTAAGCTAGGTCCATCAATTTACCCTTACTGTATGAAGCCCGAAAATGGGCCCCAAAGCCTCTTGTTTTTTTACTTAAAAACAAGGCTAATAAGCATAGGCTCTACAGGGCCTCAACATTCATTGGTTGCAATTCATTTTTTTATAACTGGTGCATTGGAGACATGACATTGTGGTCACTGAACACTCTCTGCTATCATAAAGAGTTCCTATGGGGATTCCACAGACTCACTTTTGGCACATGAGGATTGAATTCCACAGCTCTATGAATGGCCTCTACTGCATTCATCTCTGCCGTGCTCAGCCCCCGCCGAGATGCAGCCTCGGGAGAGAATCTGAAAAGCAGAAAGACAAACACCATCCAGTTGGGACCACTGCTTGGGCATTAACCTGGAAAGGCATCTACACATCAAGGGCCCAGAAAACCACAGCGAGCCAAAGGCATGAGCTCTCCAAACCTCCACTACACAGAACCTCTGAGTGACCCCTCAGACAGAGGCCAACAAAAACCCCAGCAGAAGCAGAAAGCGTGCTTGCATCTAATCGCGGCAGGAATTAAATTCAGCTGTGAAGTCTCTCTGTCTAAATAGCTAATCTAAGTTTTCTAGAAGGTACCTGCTTAGGTCAGGGGAGGGGGTAGGACTGACAAGGGCAGACAGTGTAGGAAAAAGAGAAAACTAGGTTACAGAAGAGCGCACTTGGTTAAAAACAGAACTGGGGAGAATTTTAAAGGAGGCTCCCAACCCAATGTCAGTGCTGCGATGGAGGGTTAAGTCTTGCAGCTTCAGCAGCAGGCGAGCCTGCTTGGGGCTGTTCCGGCAGGGGGAGTGTGCATGCCCAAACTGCGGGCGAGACACCTGCCCAAGTGAATGAAAAAAACCAGACCATGCAATCTCTTTCTCACCTCACACCCAGGGCTAACTCCAGAGCTGTGCTTGGCAGGCAGACACCACAGGGGAAGCTGTGACAACCCTGGCCCTGCCCTCCCAAGCTGGAGTCGCTGTGTAGGGAGAAAAGATGTTGCAGTAGGTACTGGCGATCTACAGGATAAAAAAGAATGAAAGAAAATTACTTCGGTCTTGAAGTGCACACACACTTAACAGCAAACCTGTCTGACACAGCAGAGGCTGTTTTCTTTTCCTGTTATCTGCTTTTCAGTGCTACCGAGGGAGTGTATCGGGAAGTGTAAGCGTTTATGAACTCAAAACCAGTTAAGCCATCTATTTCTTTCACCTGCCAGTCATCTTGGGGGTTTATGGAAATTCTCTATACCACAGTCACCTGCCTGAACAAAACGGGCAAATGTCCCACTGTGATGGTGACTCAAGGTAAACGGATCCTGGGTGGGGAGTTAGTTTGGAATTGATGAGGTAAGGAAAGGGAGATGACCATCCCCTTTTGCCATATTAATATGTTTGTTATGACTACTACCCCGCCCTGGACTGCTGGAGGAAGAGGAATATGCAAAAAAATGAATCAAAGAAGGCATTTTGTATAAGTCCCAAGCAGGCCTTTTGGTATCTACTGTCTGGCAAAAAAAAAAAAAATAAAAGTCACCTCAGAGGCATGGAGTTTCATATAAATCCCTCTTTAGGAACCCACACACCATTACAATACCTGGCGATATACATTCCCTCCTTCTAGTAGTGAAAGAAAAGAAAATGCAGGTTTTGGAAAATGCATGCTCATAAGCAGGGGTCTCATAGACTAAGAAAAACTTGCAGAGAAAGCCCTCAGAGACAACACATCTCCTTCCGTCCAGACCAGCATCTGTACTGCACAGGCTACTATCCACTTACTTGTCAGAGACAGCTCTCGCTTTGAGCAAGGCTGCTGTGTAGCATATCGTTGCCGACTTTGGTAAGCTTATATCTGTTAGAGAGAAAAAAAGGAGGAACTGTTATAAATCTGTACAAACAAAGAGCAATGATTTTTTAATGCACTAGCATTTTAATCATGTAAGCCTAAAGAGCATAAATTAAGAATATTTTAACTGTTCCTTATGTAGCCAAATGGTAGGTGAAACTAAGGGTAATTCATACTTTTGTGAATAATTCAAATTTCAAATCCACCACACTGTTCAGCAATCACCTTTTATTTAAAATATGGATTTTTCATATGTTGAGTTTATTTAAGCAGAGAATAGCTATAAATACATAAATTTAAATATGACATGAATAGTCTTGATATCAAGAAAGGCAAACAGGACTTCTTTGTTAACTTATAAAATTTCTCAAGAGGCATATGAAATATTAAAGTGAAAAAAAATTACCTGGATTCTTTTTTAAATATAAGGTTTTTTAGTGATAAATAAATTTATTTAAAAATTATTCTTTAGTTTTTCTTTAGTTAGTATTCTTTAGTTATTCTTTTAGTATTCTTTAGTTATTCTTCAGATTTAAACCAGATTTCATGAAATTTATATTTAGTTTTTTTGTTAAAATTGGAAAGAGAAATCTTTATGAGGATATATTATGAAATCTTTATAAAACTACACAATTTTTGTTCATTCAAACCCATGATAAAGCTCCTTTCATATGAAGCCTAATTTGTTGCCCAGAAAAACAGTTCCTTTCAGTTTGTACAGAAAATTTCAGATGGAGGGGTGGGAACGGGTACCAGATTCAGATAGAGTTTACAGGCAAATAAAAGCACAGAGTACAACTAAGAGGAGATAAGTGCAAAGAGGGTAGTCCCTCTGGGGGCAGGGGGTAGGACTTGTTTTTAAATTATGATCCTATTTCGCACCAGAACTGTCTTTCTTTAACACTCAGACTAGGTAAAAATATGCCATTCCCAGGTGCTACAAAATTCACCCGAGGTTAGAAGAACTCTTAACACCTGGAACGCCCTCCAAGTTTCTTTCGGGCTGTTTTCAACTTTAGAAGAATTACATTACGGTAGGGATGAAAAGGAAAGTCCATAACTAGACAAAAGTCAACAGCAGAAGAAAATAATTTCATAAAAGAAAAACAACCTTTCATTCAATAATGAGTATTTACCACCAATTCCAGCATGAGGAATTTCTCTTTGAGGGAAATTTCAATGACACTGATAAAATACAAATAATCAGAGAAAATACCAACACAGAATTGAAAGGGAGAGAGGTCTTTGTAACCCTGATCTCATAAATTATATCCAAACAAAATTTCAACACCATATGCATACTGTAAAATGGTGTGCTTATGACTAAGAAGGAAAAAAAATGTCAGACACTCATGGATTTGTCTTGTTGCTTCTCCAACATCTAAACATTTAACCACTTCCCAGTATGTGAAATCAATTCAGGAATCAATTATCTTGTTTGCTAGGGTCCATTTATTGATTGTTACTGGAAGATAATAAAAAAAATTGCAGATAATACACATTCTACTTAAAAGTTCAGACCTTTTTTTTTTTTAAACTTCAGACCTTTCATTTAAAAATTATCTAAGCCCTGCTTCCACCCTTCCTGGTGTGATCTGTGTTCCTTCTGCGACAATCTAGCACCTTTCTATGAAGTGGAAACAAAGGATTAGTCCTAGAAAGGAGTTGAAACTGAAAATAATGGTCAAAATTATTCGAAGGTGGCAGCACAGATGGAACCTCACATGATAAACTAAAGAAAACCTGTTGTTAAGGATTTAGCTTCTCAATGAGAACGATCATGTTGTTTAGAAGGTTACCTAATCAAGCAAATGAACACATTCACCCAGTTGGAAATGCAGAAAGAGATACGATTGATGTGTTCCAGCAGAATCTTAGAGATGCCTAATCAAAGGTGATCTTTAATCCCCTCACACCCATAGACAGGACATTCACAACTCTGCAACGTTACAACTACTATGGTACAATTTCCCCATTTAAAAAAATTTTACCCTTACTCCCTCATTGTATGTAAAGATACTGGTATATGTGCACAGTCATAATGCTTAAAAAAATAAAGAAAAAAATATTTTAATCAATATCAAATGGGAAAAGGAAGAAATATAAATACCCCATTCCCCACCAGTGGCAAGTTCATTCCACTTGTTATCTCTTTAGTATATTATTTTGCTCTCACTATTAAACAAAAATTAAAAACAGCAAACAATTCTTGCATAACTTATTTATATATTTTCAATATTTTTCTTTCAATTCTTTCAAAGCAATACATCTATTTGGTAATGGCAATTTGTCTCTAAGGAGGGATGAATCATTATAAAGAAACTGATCCTAAATTACCCTTCAGGTAAAGCATCTTGTTCAAATAAGGTTTTTGTGTACAACACTTTTTTTTTTAATGTGGCAATATAAATCAAATGCTTTAACATTTTGCCTACCCAGCAATTCTGCTTCTGAGACTTTATCCTAAGGGAAATCATCACAACTGTGCATGAAGATTTAGCTTTAAGGATGTTGATCACGACATTGTTTCTAATGGTAGAAAACTGGAAACGGCCCAAATGTCAATCATAGGAGAATGGCTAAGGTGCCGCACATCCACAGGGTGCAATTCGATGCAGTCGTTAAATCATGTGGTGGAAAGTATTTTATGACCTGGGGAAATGTTGCATTGTTGTAAAACAAGTTTTGTAAAACAAGTTTACAAAAATTATGATTTCACATATTTTTAAAAAAGCATTTTTATGCACAGAGATAAAAAGGCTGGAACTATATATACCAAATATGAACAGTTTTTATTTCTGGGTGCTGGGATTATAGACAATTTTTTTCTATGTTTACCTGCATTTCCGAAGCTTCCTGCGACGTACACGTAATAAGTGAATTTTTAAAAGATAACAATGATGCTAAGGGGAAGAAGTCTTTCTACAAATTGTCTGCAGCAAGTTCATGGGCAAATATGATACACTGGTGGAGCGAGACACAGACAGCATAAACAGACAAAGGCAGAACTTACACGAAGTGCTGTTAGCCCGCAGATGTAGAAAATTATTTATATACCTTCATGAAAGTTAGCGTATTCCTTTTGTGGTGTGCAGTTGTTAACCGTATTTTAATCTAATAAATGCCTAATATCTAAATCAGAGGCAGGACCTGCATGTTTTGGTTCACTTTTAAGAAAAAACCATATACATTACCTTTAGGAGAAAGCTGATTATTATGGGCTGCTTGCCCCATGAGCCTTTTTTCATTTCTTTAGGGAAAAAAAAAAAAGGCTGAGACTTGGTTGTTGTTGCCTATTATAATTATGAAACTTATTATTTTGAAATAATTATGGGGTCATAGGAAGTTGTGAATACAGTACACAGAGTTCTGGGAAGCTTCCTTCAGCGTCCCTCAAATGGTGACAACTCACATAACCGCATTATAACATAAAAAAACCAAGAAATTGACGTTGGTACAGTACTATTAAGTCAATTACAGACCTTATTCAGTTTTCACCATTTTTTACATGCATTCCTGTGTGTGTGGTTCTATGCAATTTTATCCCAAGGCTAGATTCATGTAACCACCACTACCATCAAAATACGCAACTTTTCCAAAGGAACTTTCTCACGCTACCCCTTTATTTGTACCCTCCCCACCCATACCTGTTCCCAGTGACCACTAATCTGTTCTCTATCTCCATAGACTTGTTTGCCTACTATGATTTTATGCTTTTGCCACCAGGGAAATGGATAAAATGGTAAGGGGAACAGGGTGACTAACCATACTGATGGAAATGGTAGTATCAGAAGTTTTAAGCAGGAAATAACAACAAATAAGCTGCTTTCCAATATTGCTTGTAATTTATTCAGAAATTTTATTTTGAGGAAGAAACTCAAAATCGTTCTAAGTCCAATTTTGTATGAGCAGACTCTAACTGTGCAGTGCTTTTCTGTCTTTTGAAAGTGGTGTGTAGCTACCATTATTGCCAGAAAGTCCCCTTAAGAATTAGAATCCAAGGAGGAGATGAAAGTAAATGAGACATCACACACTCATTGTAGAAACAAGGAATGCTGAATAAATGTTTCTCACTTCGGCAAAGCTGAACTGTTGGCGTTAGTTTAATTTTCCTTCCATTTCTTTCCATCTTGTGTTTCATACAGATCCTTTTATGAAAGAAGAACTTTCTCCAAGCATCTTAGGTGTACAAAATCAAATTGTTGTGAAAGTCTTTCCTTAAAATCTACAATCTTGAATTTCATACAACTGGAATCATAGCATGTGTACTTTTGTGTTTGGGTTCTCTCTCTCCAAATGATGTTTCTGAGGTTCACCCATGTTGTAGCATGTATCAGTACTTCGTTCCTTTTTATTGCCGAGTCGTATTTCATTGTGTGGATATACAATATGCTTATTCTCTTGCTAATGGCTATTTGGATTGTTCTCCAGTTTTGGACTACTATGAAGAAAGCTGTTGTGACTATTCTTGTGTACTTTTTGGTTTAAAAGAAACCCTCATTTTTTCTTGGATATGTAACTGTAAATGGAATTGAGTCAGAAGGTAGATGAATGTTTAAACTGGTAGACAGTGCTCCATGGTGGTTGTATGAAGTTTGCAAAGCTAATATATGGCGAGAGAGGTCAGAAAAAGGGTGACTTCTGGGTTAGAGGGGCAATTTTCTGAGATGATGGAAAGTTCTATGATTCTGGGTGGTGATCACAGATGTATATACATAGGTGAAAAGTCATCCCAGTCTACATTTAAGATTTGTGCATGTTACAATATGTAATTTATACCACAACAAAAAAGATGAAAAAAAAAAGCCAAACCTACAATCCTGTGTCACCTGAAGCTGCCTTCTCTTACTTGCCTTTCATCATTCTGGACCCTCCATTCTCTCTATGCATCCTTATCTAAAAATTACTTCCTAGTTTAATAAACAGAATCTGATTATGTTTCAGGTTGGTCTTTCAAATACTAAGATGGTTAAATTATCCTCTAAACCTAATCTTTTCCAGAATAC